CCAATGGTTTTATGTCCATTTATTAACATCTGAAATACTTTGGGGCTCCACAGGCAGGGAGCTGTGGGCAAATCGCTTTTGCTTAGCTTGATTTTGTCAGCCTTTGTGTTCTACTGTCTCTTAATATCCCTGTGCTGTGCAGAAATGTGGAGCTAAACACATCTGCTTTTTTGAATTCTCCAAGTTCTAAGAATGAAGATGTTAATTTAATTATTTACTATCACTGATGAGCTATAGGAATGAAAATATTCTTTTGGATGTTCATTTTCTCACCATAGCCATTAAACACAAGACAAATTAAAGCTAAAGCGCCACCTAGTGATAAGATATTGAAAGTTATTTTAGAATACACGAAAATGGCTCTCTTTTTCCCTGAAAATTTAGTGAATGTTAAAGAAATCAGAGGTTTACTGAGAGTCATACAAACCTTTCTGTTGATAAGCACAATACATTTACTGGAAGGAAATATACAACCTCTTTATTCCATTTATTTTTCATGCTTATAGTAATTCCAGTGTTCCCACCAAACCATTCTGCCCATCTTAAAGTTTTGGACTCTTTGAAGTCCAAAGTTTTGGATTTTGTGGACTCATTCCACATTAATTGTGTGTTTTATTAACTGTTCACCCAAGTTCTTCCAACAATAGAGTTCAGAAAATTATTTGCATTCAGTGAGTTTTATTTCATCAATTCATCTGTCAAAACAGCCAAATCTGAGGAAGCCCAGAAGAGAGAAGGAGCTTTAAAGTTGTCATTCCTTTGTCCTTCCCCTTCTACACTTTCACCCCGACCACCGTGGGGTGTCATCACTCCTCCCTCTTTCACCAGTCACATTGGGTGATATGTTGAGTATGTTTTGTTTCCTACTCAACATGTTGCGCACAAGTTCAAAACCAAAACACTCATGCCTAAAGTTCTTACGTGGTGAACCCTGCACAGGAAAGGGGAATCAGAGCACAGAAACACAGAAGCTTCAGGAATTTTGCAGATGGTGTTTCCTTAAAAAGCAGCTTTCCATAAGCAGCTCTCAACCAACAGGAATCATTTAAAAAGTGATGCCGTACTAGGGACATGCAATGCAGTAAATTTCAGAGAGGTTGCATCACCCATTAATACCCCAGAACAGATATTTCTTCAGATCTCCTATGATAATTAAAATCATACTATTCTTCAAACCCCTGCACATGACTTTTGAGTACAAAAGTGAGCAAAGAGGTTATTGGGAGACAAAATCTACCTGGCGATACAGTCAGTGAAAATAGGAATGGAATTACAGATATGAGGCTGAAAATTCAGTCTGATACATCGATGCACAGCAGCAAATCATAGCAGAGTTGTGTGGCAACAAACTCAGGTCTGAACACAGGACAGTAATGTTAGGGCAGCCTGACTTTCAGACAACTCTACAACTTCCTAGCACAGAAAAACTTCCTGTACCATACCGCGTTAATTTTCAGGTCCTGGAGTATGGTTCCGTGGACCTGGAAAGGATGTCTAGGTGGTCCATCATGTTTTCAGTCCCAGATGCCACGATGACTGTTTAGGCTGGTCTTTCTTCAGTTTGCACTGATTCCTGTTTTGTTTGTTTCAACTCACTTTAACTTCACCTTAATTCCTACTAGCTCCCTTTAATCCCTTCTTGCATGCTCTGTGCATATAATCCTCTTCCTCTATCATTCTTACCCCCCACCCACACTTCTCTGACTTTTACAAATAAGCCAGTCAACAAAATGTGGGAACTGACAACACTGGATAACATCACATTGTGATGGGATGAGTATCAAAAACATTAAGTGTAAAGTGGTAACTAAAAAATTGTAAAAAAAAAAAAAAAAAAAAAAAAAAACCCCCAACCACCCAACCAACAACAACAACAAAACAAAACAAAGCAAAACCAAAAAAAACCCCTGCCCCCCTCCTTGTTTTCCATTTTCATGGCATGTAGCACAAGAAATACTAAAAATATACTGCAGGAAAGATTCTTTAGGCCAGTGATAAGGAAAAATTTTGTTGTGATACAGATCTTTGAGCACTAAAATAGCTTCTACATGGTGACTGTAGAACCTCTGTTTCTAGAGAGGCTAGAGAAACTCTCGTCAAGAATAGACATTCTTTACTGTCCACAAGGGCAGGATAGTGCACTAGTTAATCTCTAACATCTTCTCAAGATGCTACGATCATATGAAAATTAGGAAAGAGTGAAAATATACAAAACAACTGTTTTACATCTCTGCTGCATAACTCAGGAAAAATTTCTTGTAATACGCAACACTGCACAGTAATTCTAATACATCTAAACATATCTATAATGTGATTTACAACACAAGGACCACGGGAAAAACAATCAATTTGCTACTTCAGGAAATGCTTCACTATAAATATGTAGTATTTTATATTTGCTACTATTCTTCAGAGGCAAAATAATGTTGCCTTCTATTTGAAGTGGAAATGCAGTTTTAATGAATTATAATGCAGATATTTAATTTTTAAAAAATGATCCAGCAATAGTTTTCCAAAGAATCCTCTATATATAGTGGAAATTAGCCAGAGAATAAGAATTCATAGTTCTCCTACTATGAGGAATGCCACCATGAATTATTTTAATTCCATCCAGTTTCTTATTTTTCAGTAGCTAAGATGCATTTTTCATCACAGGAGAATAATAATTTTTCACAGAACAAATAAAACTTACACTGAAAGCTTATACCAAATTGTTCCCCTCCCCTCCAATTCCCAGTGGGTGTACTTGGAGATCTCTGCACATCTTCATGGTAAGAATTTTTAATTCTCCCAGCAAGAAGTAATGAGACACCTCATCTCTTTTCATTCACAGCTCAGGTCACTTTCAAAAAGACATACTTCAGCCTCAGATATTAGGCAGAGCACCAGCAGTGGTAGGAAACACTGCATTGCCAGTTTAATGGGAAACTGGGTTTGTTTGGTTTACAATTCTATTAAAAATGACTACAGAGAAGGTTATTATAAGTTAAAGAGTCCACTTGAGTAGCAACACAGTATGCCTTCCTTTATGATGAACTAAGTGCTCTCCAGACTGTCACAGCACATATAAGTGTTTCATTTGTGTCTGAAGGAGACTGTAAATGTCTGGGATCAGGGATCTAATTTGCACAAAAAATCAGGACAGACTAATGCTGCCATTCACTACATCAATAGTGACGCTTGCCCCCTACAAGATTTCTGCCAATCAATTGTAAGTAAGATTATGAGCTTTATTGACTTTCAGCACCACCAGAAAATCAAAATAACTAAAGCACTGAAGTTTATGTTCTGTCCCAACATAAACGGAAGCAGATGTAAAGTATAAGGCCAGGTGTTTCTTTAATGAGATTTAGATAAGTTTTGTGGTTGTTGGCTTTTTAAAAATTATTTTTCCCCAAGGAGGTAGAGGAGAAGGGAGAATAAATAAAGGTCATAAACACCCTCTCACTTAGTGTAGATTACCAGCTATGGCTACCAGAAAACCCAAGCAACATAACACTTAATAATACCAATGCATTTCTATCTGTGAGACTAAAGGTCTCAGTGAATTACATATTATGCTGGTACATAAATCCACAGAAAGGTCAGACATTCCCTCATGTAGTTTATCTTCAGTAAAGTCAAAAGAACTTCATATAGCCACCAGGAACTCCTGCATTCTCTACGTCTCTATTCTGGTACTCACTTTTAGGTATCATGAATTTGTTACAGATGGACAGAAAACTAATGCAAAAAGTCATTGAAGAATATCTACTCTCGTTGAAAATATATTGCAATAAGATATTTTATCTGATCAACAGCTGCTCATGAGGGATGTATTCAGTTGTTGAGATCCCTTATCTTTTCCACAGGAACATTTAAGTTTCCTTTGGCATGTTGCCATCACCTGGTATACCTCTGAGAAACAAAACACGGAGCTCTAGAGGTCTATAGAGCACTGCTGAGCTGCCATTCCTCTTTTTTTACTCCAATAGTTACAACCTGTAAAGGTGTTGCAGAAAACGAGCAAATAAACAAACAAACAAAAAGAAAAAAGAAAAGCACATGCATTTTTGTGCATTTGAAAAAGAAGCTGATGACAGCATTATTATAGGAAAGTATTATCACACTGACATTGCATATGCTCTTTAGCAAATACACAGCTTGAGTATGGCAGACAAGTATTTCAGACAGTCTCCTGATGATTCTTCTTTAGAGAGTTTCAGCCTCTGTTTTCCTACTGAAGCTATTCCTTTTTTCCTTCAGCAACTCTTTTCCAGCTGTCTTCACTCCTTCCCCCTGAGGACAGAACCATACTTGAATGCCAGGAATCTTTCTTTTTTTCCCCCCTGTTTTCTGTTTTTTCTTACTCTTTCTCAGTCTCTAGGTTTTTGACAGTGTGTCTGAGGTTTGCTGATATTTTAAACCATCTGTGGAATAAACAGAGCATGAAAAGGACATCAGCCCCCACCTTTATCTCCTGTTCTGCTTCTGCAACGTTGACAAAAACCCCAGCTCAGTGATATGCCTTCCCTCTCACCCTTGATCCAATTCCCTCAACACATACCAGACTTTGCCTGTTGGCACTCTGAACATCTACATCCTGCACAGGGACACCCAAAGCATGAGACCTTGAGAATTGTGCAACCCCAGCAACGCAAGCCTCTGTCACCAGGAGCCCACTGTGGGTCAGAGGGAAGGCAGCACCTTTCCTTCCTCAGATGTGCCTGCAGCAGCATCATTCCCTCTCCCCTCCTCTTAAGTCTGGACTGTTTTCATCCCTTCTTTGAATTCTAATTCTTTAAAAATAAACAAACTAAATCAACTCCTCAGCCTCTGAGTACAGCTTTGGGATTTCAGGTTTGTTGACTGCAGTCAGCTTAGCACTGCACACACTGAGAAGCACTCTGACTTTAGGGCCTCTTTGGATGCTCAAGCACAGAGTGTAAGCCTGTAGTTGTGAAATTACATTTTTTTTTCCTCAGTATTATTTACAAATAAAGCATAAAAAAATTAAACATAAAAAATAATTTTCAGCAGCTTAACTGTTTTCCCCATAAGTATTATGTTTAATTTCTAATTTTCATTACCTCATTTACTTGCAAAGACACTCCTGCTGTTTACCTCTCAGTGTGGTGTCTGGAACATATTTTCAGCAATTAAGGTAATGCCGATGATTAGGAAACAAGCTCATAAAGTTTTGCAAATACAATGCTATGTTCTCTGCTCCCCTTTCTGATGCAGTGTGAAATGCTGCCTCCTACTATGAGAAAGTAATAGATTTGACTGCTGTCTCTCACACTAGTGTTTATTTTAGCCATGAAACATGAGCTACCTGACATGGAGTAGCAAGAAATGATAAAAGGAATGGAAAGGAGATATGAGAAAATTATGAAGTTGTTTCTTTAATCAAGGAGAGCTAGGGATTTGGAAAATAAAAATATATTGTGCTAATGATGTCTCTAAAGTAGAGGGATTCTTTTACTGATTTTCTGGATATTCTGCCTCAAAAGAAGGAGACCCACATTATCATTCTAATCACAAAACTTTCCACAGAAACTAGAATAATGTAAGTGAAAGACAGAGTATTGAGAGGAATGGGTTAAAAGAAGAAGACTGTTAAGGAGGATTGTAAATATACACAAGTGACCTTTTAGCTAGGAATGTAAAAATTCTGGAAAGTAGTAATGTAGAAAAACATATATTATGCCTACTCTTGTTTGCCTTCTGAGGGCCTTGAGAACATCTGTGTATAGATAACAGAGGTGTTTGGTAGACTTGGAGGGACCCCGAGGAACGTGCTTGAGTTCCTTGCCTTGGTCCAGAGCAGATTGAAGTACAGCAAAGATCACAGCGCGATGGCAAACCACTCGTGTAGGAACTCTTGGTAGACCACTGGGAACAGCAGGATGGATCTTTTAGCATGAATCAGCTTGAATGACATCTGCGGCCACCTGGGTACGTCTGCCCAGGTTCTGCTTTGGGGATCCTCTGGTTAGCGTGGAAATGGGAATAAGTTTACTCTCTGCGTTTCAGCCATGGATCTGTGGTTGTTCCTTCTGCCCGACTGTGCTGACTCACACACAGTACTATTACCATACTTACAAAACCACTACTGAAGAGCTTGCCAAGACCTCTGGATTTTTTTTCTTGGTTAGTACTGCTACTTTTTTGGGTAATTCCCTAAGGAAACAAGGCTTACGTAAATGTATAGGTATCTCTCTGTCTCATATTCCCTTCCCTCAGCCCCTTAGTAAGTTTGTACGTGGTTTGCCCATTTTAGCCACATTCAGACAAGAGAGGGAAGTCTCCACTGCTATGTCCAAACCTCTTAAGTTAGTAGTTCCCAGCTCCCAGGTCCATATATGTCCTACAAACTCATCCACTCCTCTTTTAAGCTAGTAAGGACAGAAGAAATCCTTGGTTCAGCCATATTTTTTTTCTGCCAAATAAGTGACCACAGAGTTTATTTTTATTACTGTTTATTATTTAGTAATAGGAAAATTCATTCATTGGTGCTTTTCTGCTTTTTAAATCAAGACTTTTACACTCCAGGCTAACGAGAAATACCATTTAAAAAACACTAATATGCTTCATCACGTTGCTCTTAGGGTTGTTATACCACAACATCACTAGGAGTGAGTCAGTAATGCTCATGCTATGTAGTTTTTTCTAGAATCCAGTCTGAATACTCAGCAACTTTGGTGTAGACTCCTGGCTGCCTGGGGCGAGCACATCCTTCGCCCCAGCTGGTGATGCCCACCAGATACCACACCTCCTCATGCCTGCATGCCAGCGGCCCTCCCGAATCTCCCTGTGTCACAGGAGAAAAAGAGAGAGCATGCAAGGAAGAGCCCTCATCAGTATTTCTATCTCAAAGAAAGCCTTGAATAAAATCAGCATCATTGAGTGTTAACACCAGCATAACTGCCTAGATTTAAATCGCTTTCACTTAATGCATGTAGCAGCTTTTCTGACTTTTTTGTAAATTGATTTCTAAATACTTTCTAGTCATTAAAAATAATTTCAACTTACCATGAAGGTTCAAAACTACTGGCTTTTTTCTTTTCCTTACTTATCTGCATGCAGTGATTTAAAACCCAATGAAGACTATGTGTCCAAGTAAGGAAAACTGTAAATTCGGAAATGTTTTCTTTAATGGCTTTTTTTTTTCAGTATGTAAATCTCAGTTCTCTGCATGGTTTATCTTGTTTGAGCAACTTTCCCCATCAGGATAAAACACTTTTCTGTTTTCTTTTCCTATTCCTAACCCATCTTTCTGAACATAAGGTTCTTCAGTGTAGCCATTTTAAGTTGTTACGACAATAGCGTGTTATTTTTATAAAGCAGCATCTCCATCTTCTGGTACACTGTATCAGATAAAGAAAGCCTAATTGGCATAGAGGAAATTTTTATTCCTAATTACTCAATATCAATCATAGTAACATTTTAACATAAAAATATTAACTGTTAAATGTTTACAGTGAAAACTGTATTTGGTAGAGAATTTAATCTTAATAATCAGACTATTTTCTTCTTGCATAAATTAACTCAGAATATTTAAACTGATGGAAGGGCATGAGTTTACACTTGAGAAAAGAATTTGGTTCACTGAACTCACACTGGTGTGACATTTCCAATTCCAAAACCAAGCAGAGCAGTTTGCACAGGTTGTTTTTAGCCTTCTATTGACCATGCATTTTAATAGCATTGCTAGTACCCTCCCCTCTGGTTTGTACATGGTGGATATTTTAAAATAAGCTTTCATGTACTGTATTTCATGTCAGGAAATAAAACACTACATAGGAAATCTGCTTTTATTTGAGAAATGCTTTGAGATGCTATACTTGCTCTCTTTGGATTTCTGATAGTCTGAAGGAATACTGTTTTATCCTGTAAATGGTTGAGTTATCTATATATCCACACTCAGAGTTTCCTATCCATGGAATCTATCCCTAAAGATTTCAATGCGGCACAAGAAATATTTTCCACATACCTTGATTTTCAGTGCATTCGACAAGGAAAAGTGACAAGTTAATCAACAGCTCTATTGATAACCATGCCTTTCAAATAGCAAATAAAAAAACTACAGTATTCAATCATATATTTGAAAAAATAATTGGAATATATAGCTATATACTACTGTTTTTCATTACCTTACAAGCATCCCTTCCACCTTCATCGTAGCCAGCACAGATGACTTTGTCACCTATTCTGCGCTTCCGGTACCTTGCCTGGCATTCCTCTGTTGACATGAGGGGAATGGGAGCCTTCTGGAGAATATCTTGTACTCGACCTATGTAAAAGGCAATATGAGCAGAGAAAAGTTAAAATTAAACTTCCCCATACACTGATTTTATGAAGCGGGAGATCACTGCTTCTAGAGTGTTGAGAGATGACACCAATTGTTCCTTCTTTGTGTTACAAGCAATGTGAATTGTCTTCTAATTTGAATGTTTTTATAATGTCATTTTCTTTCTTATGACTGGACAAGCTTCAAAACTTCCTTGTGATTTGCAATGAATCCTCATATATGCATGGCTCTCAGGACACTGGCCCTTGGAGCATTGCCATTAGTATTGCTTTTAGTAACTACTTTTTCCTGGTAAAGTGTTGCAATAACTTTAAAATCTCCCAGTTGCCAAATCTATGCTCCTCTACATCCTAGTACTTTACAGGATGGAGAAACTTGCACATAGAATAAATAAGATTATTTGAGAGAAGCTTTTTCTTAGAAATTAACAGAAGAAATTTGTCTATACAAAATCTGCCTAAATTTTTTAGATTTCATATTGAACTCTAACCTCCAAATATGCAGCTGTATAAAGGAAAAGAAACTCTTTAAATAGGTATATACCCATATAAACATATAAAGATGACACATATAAAAATATAAATAAGCAGATAGATATAAAACCATACTTTGATAATTAGAAGGTTTTTTGGCCTACCTTCACATAAAATCAGAGGAGTACAAGTCTCATCCACCATCAAAACACAAGTAATTGGCATTGTTTATAATTAATCTTAAGAATAATAAAAGCAACACGCTTCAGTCTCTGATTTTTGAAGTCATATGAATACAATCACATTTTAAAAAAGCATGGACTATGTGCAGACTGTAACTCAGAACAGTTCAATGATAAGTTTGCTGTCCTTTTTCAGCTAGGATCATGAAAAGGAGTGTGCATTCCAGATATATACTGGATTTTACCAGAAGAATAAGCTAGAATATAAGAAAAAGTATTTGAGAGCTGGACAGGATATATTTAAGGTTGAATTCTCACATATTTCATATTATTGAATCGAACAATTCATAAAATTAATTCTTGCGTCAGAGCATGGAGTTATTTAATGATAATTTCTTACATCTCATTTATGTTTTGTGATGTCTTAATAGAAATAGATTTTAATTAAGAATTATATTACAGTGCTGGTTTCTAATTAAGAATTGTATCACAGAATGGCTAGAAGCAAGAATGGTACCTACGAACAGAGCAGAATTTTATTTTTTTATAAAAGGGGAGTTGTTTGGGTTTTTTTCCAACACATGAATTTTACAAATACAAGAACTTGCTGTTTAAAAATACTTTTCTGTACCTTTTTCTTTTCTGTAACCCCATCCAATTACCCAACAGTCAGTATAAAATATGTTAGTGTCTTCTTTTGATGGCAGGCAAATAGGTAGTTGAAGATCTAAAATACAATTAAAAGTATTAGTTTGACCAGCAGAGATAACTACAACAACAAGGCAAATAAGGTCAAATATGACCCCTTATGACAGACTCCATGTTATGCTTTGTCCCTTACACTATATATCATTCCCAACACATAAAAATAAGCCACCCATTTTCTTTCCAAAGCCAACAGAATGAGATCCTCCTCAAACCCCTCTAACTGCATATTAAAGGAAGCCAGCCCAGGTGTCATGCACTGCCATGGCAATGCCAGCCCTGTGACATCCTGAACATTTTCAGAATTCCTCTGCAATACACTACATACCAGTAAAATTCATAGGCTTAGCAAGTTTCATTAAGGCAATGTCATATCCAGTCTGTGCATATTTATACTGAGGGTGAACAATAATCTCTTCCACTTTGAAGAAAGGTGTATCCTCATTTATTTCCGATTGTTTTAAAATACCAGCATAAACACGCCAAATGTTGGGATTCGCAAGACTGAGGGAAAAAGACAAACAGTCAGCCTGTGGCTAAAAAGTCTAATGCAATCCCTGAAGTAGTTCATGTGATTCTTTCAATTCTTTCCAACACAATTTTTCTAGTAATGAAAATAGGGTTGGTAAAAGAAATTCAAGTAGCCTATTCTGACATTTATTAGTTGGGAAAATGACACTAGCCATGTAAATATAGATTAGAAAGTATAATACCATAGACATATATGACAGGTTTCAGCTAATCTTTATTATTCTAACTTTATTTTGAGTAAGTTTAAGGGATATCTCATTGTGACATTTTACCTACCATTAAGGCAATCTAGAAGTTTTGGTAAAAACAATGAAGAAGATACAAAAAGTGTCTTAAATAAACTCCAAAATTTTTAAAGATTTTATATATGAATTCATAAATATTAATTGGGCTTTAAAAATTCCAATTAAAAAAGTCTATTTTTATTATTATTTTGCAAGTATATATTCTCCTTTTGCCTTTTTAATAATGGTAACTTCTACATTGGTTAGTAGGCAAAGGATATATTTATATAGGGTTCTTTAAAAGTTTAACCACTTTTTAAAATTTGCCATTGGAGGTAAAATAATGGTAGTACTATTCCATGAGAAAACAATAATGGGAAACACACTACACTGCGTCAGTAAAAATGCCTTGTTTTGGATCATGATGCTGGGTCAACATTCTCTTCTTTGAAGGCTTTTATCTGTTACCTGTACTTTTTCTCCCATCAGACTGCATTGAAGACTTCCATTTCATTTTGTAAATGGCAGGATAACCTATTTTACAGGTGCTGACAATCTAACATGGGAAATGGATCAACTACATGGCAATAAAATCAGCCCTTCACAATGTAAACAATTTCATGAGCCAGATCTGATAGTAATTTGATTAACAATACAGACTACATGCATCAGTTTACGCAAATTATCGAAGTCTTAGGTACAGACTGCTTTAAATCTGAAAATCTCCATTAAAAATAGGGCACTAATTTGCTGGTTTATAAAATTTGGGGGATTAAAAACTGTTAAAAGAAATCAAGACAATTGTGTTCTTGATGTTTCACGTAATGCTCAGGCAGCCTAACTGGACTCAGAGATTTATGGTCTGTCCTGGTCAAAAAGGTTGCATTGCTGAGAACCCTGCTGCTAAAACTATCAGATTAGCGGTACAAAAAAATCTCTGAGATAACTTATTTGAAATTTATGAAATGCAATAACCCAGCCACAGACTTTTCTTGATAGATTATATGGTATTACAGTAAGAAAAACTCATCTCTCATTAGAGCATGTAAGGTTCTGTAAATATCTCTTGTCTGCTTTACAATTTCACCTTCTGGATTCATTAAAATAATTTAGTATCAACAGTACAATACTATGTTACAAAGTGACAAAGTATGGAGTTCCAGCTACTTTAAGAAGATGAATAGTCTACCTGAAAAGTTCACCTTTTGGTTACATTAAAACCATTTGCTTTATTCTAATCATCCTTGTTATTATCCTGAAAGGTAGATCTCGAATTATCTCACATGCTAGGTTAAATCTTTGGGTTTATCTGTACGTTTACATTTAAGTCTCACCTTGTGACACAGTGAGCAGCTGTGAGAATCCACCGGTTGCTGATGATAGAGCCCCCGCAGAGATGTCTCTGACGAGACAACTTCACATGCAAGCTGACCTGCCATGGCCATTCCCCAGGGGAAGAGTCTGTCCCTCCAACGATCCTAATATTTCTTGCAGAATGCTGCATACACACTACAGAAATAATTCAAAACTGATCTTGGAGATAACTTGCACTCATCAAGGAAAAATGAAGATGAGACTACTGCTGATAACTGAATAATGACCATCTATTGAGAAGAAGGTGATACATTCTAATCCCTTTATGATTTACAATCATGAAGACTATTTAAACCAAATTCACAGTGCTACTGCTGGTGTTTACAATGTACAGACCTGTCTGACTTCACTTTTTCAGAATACTTTTACTTCTCAAGGTGACCCATTGGGACAGTGCAACCAATTCAGTGAAACCACTTTAAAAAACAAAAGTTGTTTGGCCCCCTGTACTGAAATCAGTGAAGCACTGGCTTTATTGCATGAAAGAAGCTTTACTTACCAGTACTGGCTTTTTTTTTACATAATCTTAGTGAGTATCCAGAGATTCTTCCTGGCCCATGCACTATTTTCACTGGAGATCCATTTGAGGACATTCTTAGGTGACACTCACACTTTCTGTCAATGAATTGATGCAAAGATTTAGTTTGTACTTTTTTAATGAAGAACACTTCCATTACCCCCGCACCACATCTGCAGAATGACTATGTCAGCAATCTTTGAACATTTAAAAAATTTTATCTCACCTTTCCTCATTGCATGAATCTTGGAGGGGGAAGTACGTAAAAAATTGGCAGCGGATCACGTCTGTGCAAACCTGCTGACAGGCTCTGTGTCCTTTAGTATAAGTGACATTAAGTTCATCTCCCAAAAAATCCATATGCGTGTAAGTGCGAGAATTGCAGGCTGTAAGAATGAGTGCAGTCCAAGCATCAGAACATTAATAATTTAATTCAAAATTAGTATTTTTATTGTAATTTATAGTTTACCAGGAAAAGATCTTCTGCAGTTTAGGAGACCAAAGCCTGATACAGCATTTTCTCGTGATATAAGTGCCTCTGGTATCCCACTTGTTGATGTCTTCAGAAGGCAAAGATTTCTAAAATGAAATATTTTTTACAATAACTAAATCTGTTATCACATCCTAAAAATAATTGTTTAGATACTGGTAAGAGAAGTTTCTTTCTCAAACATGTCTTTTTCTCACAAGTCTCAATCTGTGAAAGTATTTCATATGAAAATGCATTCACTAAGTTCCCTAGTTCACTCTTAATTGAGGTAGGTTTTGTAGTACTGTGAAATGGCATATAACTCTGCTACTGAAGGTTGTACAGTATTTATACACTTGTAGAAGAGGTGAGTTTAGGTGATGCATGCCATCTCAGCTTTGCTTCTCACTGGAACTCCTTTGAAACTTTATTCGTCTTGTGTACAAAAGAAGGAAGACAAATAGAAATATTTCTAAACTTCACTGAAAAATCTTTTCAGGTAAATAAGTTTATCCTGCCTGGAAACCATATGGCTCTCTTGACAATGTCATAAAATTCAGCTTTAAGTCATTAAAGCAGTTGGGAGGCTCACTGTATTTTTGATGACCTTTTGAGATTAAGACCAGATATGCAACCTCAATACAAAAGCCCTTATTGCATTGGAAAACCAATGAAATGCCCACAGGAAATTAATAAATTTATGAAAAAAAAAAAAACAACCACCAAGCTTTACTGAAAATAAATTTTTTAACATAAAATTCCTCAATTTTCAGAAATCAGTCTTTTAAAAAAAACCTTTCTTTTTAAAAAATAACTTTTAAAAATCTATATAGATAATTATATTTGATTGTCATATTCACCTTTGGGATTCTATTTCCCATTTCCTGGTAAAGAATGTAAAGAACAAGCACTTTGGAAAATACGTGCAAATAGTTTGGCAGACAGAAAAATCAGGAGTGAAAAAACTTGTAATATTAGTTCCTGAAAACTCTTGATCATCAAAAATGTCCATCTGACAATCTGTATAAAACAAGAACAAAATATAAAAGATCCAAAGACTTTGTTATGTCATCAGAATATTGAGATTTACCAATTATTCATTTCTATCTTTATTCCCACTTTCCTTCCATGATTGATAAGCTGGAAAGATAACACAACATTTTAACCCAAAAGTGTTTCTTGAGAACATTTTTGAATATGTAAACTCATGGAGAGCACCACAGAACAGGGATAAGGTTCATATAGAGGAAAAGAGAAATGACATGTTACAATACAGATTTGCTAATCTAATAGGGAAAGCTTTAAATTAATTTTAAATAACTATATCTAACAGGATCATGGGAAAACTAGAGGAAAAATAATGGGATAATCCTTTTAGTACTTTAGCTTTTACTATTTGACAAGTAGGCAGAATAAGCAGGACTTCTATGTATTCTGCCCTCTGACATGACCAAAATAGCACAACAGAAGCTTGGCAGGATAATTCACACAACCAGACTATGGATATAGAAGTTACAGGAAGTACTAGCATGTTTAGAAAGAAATGAACAAGTTGCCTTCTGCAAGGATATACTTGCAAGTCCTAGTTAGAATCCTAATGCAAGAATAAAAAGAGAAAAAAAGGAAGCACCAGAACAGAGGATGCTTCTTGAACCTATTAAGCTGTAAAGATGGTAAAAATAGTGAAATTATCCAAAAGACAGGACTTGGTGGCAGCAGAGAACTTCAGCTGTTGAGAAAGTGCAGCAACCAAGTCAACTCTACTGGGTTTGTTATAGATATACATACTGGAACATCTTACCAGAAAATTAAAAAAAAAAAAAAGGGAGAGGTAGAGCTTAATGTGACTCCTGTTAGCTTCATTAGGTTTTCAAAAACATAAGTATGAAGGGTCAACAATACTGGGCAGTAATTACAGAATAAGAACAGGAAGGAAGTAAAATCAGCAGTCTAGAAAATAAGTCAAGAGAATGAATAGTTTCTGAAGAAAATTATATTTAAAGTTTTGGAAAGCTAACCCATGATCTAAAGGATCACGTTCAGTGATCATTTGTTCGATATGAAATGACCTCAAGGAAGGTACCTTGCAAAGGGCAGAAATACAGAAATATAACAGTATGTGTGCATAAGGACAAAGTCACAAAGGCAAAGGCACAAAATGAAAGGCCACATAGGAAGGAATAAACTAAATAAAGTCAGAAAAAAGCTAGAACAAATATTTAAATAAACCCATTTCAGATGTTTACAAAACAATAAGGCAGAAGATGGTGCTGAGTTTTTATGACTACATTTGACAAATCTCTCTCTCGACAGGTATAGTTGATCTGTCTTAAGATTAGGACAGTTGACCTCCTTAGATGACCTCTTGATCCAATAGCACTGTCTAGGCTTCTATGACCACACAGTTTATTTCTTCTCTCTTTCTGCTCTTGCCTCACCCAAAAGACACAGAGAGTAAGGAAAGATATGTAGGAACAAGATTGAATTTCACATGCTGTCATAGTTTAACCCCACAGAGCAATCAAGCCCCACACAGCTACTCAGTTACTCCCACACCAGTAAGATGGGGGTGGGGGAGAATCGGAAGGATTAAAACTAAAATAATAGAGAAAAGCCACACTGGGTGCCAAAAAGAACTGTGGTGTGTTGACCTTGGCTGGACACCAGGTGCCCACCAACTTGCTCTATCACTTCCCCTTCCCAGGTGAGCAGGGGAGAGAAAATAAGATGGAAAATTACTCCTAGGTTTAGACAAGGTGGTTTACTAAAGCAGAAGGAAAAGTTTGAGCGTGCACAAGCAAAGAGGAAAAAACCCCAGTAATTTTATTCTCTTCTTCCCACCAGTAAACAGATGTTCAGCCACTTCCCAGGAAGCAGGGCTTCAGCACACATAGCAGTTGCTCAGAAAGGCAAACATTGTAAATAACAGATGTCCCTCCCTTCCTCCTCCCTTTCTTAGCTTTTATATCTGAGCTCACATCATATGGTATGAAATATCTGTTTGGCTAATTTGGGTCAGCTGGCCTGGTTGTGTCCTCTCCCATAATCTCGCCTACCCCCAGCCCCTTGGTGGGGGGGGGGGAATGTTGAGAGACAGTGTTGATGCTGTGCCAGCCTTGCCCAGCAGTAGCCAAAACACTGGTGTGTTATCAACACCTTTCTAGCTACCAGTGCAAAGCACAGCACTGTGAGGGTTGCTATGGGAAAACGAACTCCATCTCAGCCTGACACAATACACATTCTTTCAGAAATACAGATTACTTGTAATGGGTCATTACAACCATGTAATCACTGTCATAAACCATAAATGTCTTTGATGAAATCTCAAATAGCTTTTGATTTATTTTTTTTTTACTAAAATCCTATTGTTTGCATGTATACTGCAGTCCCCTGATTCTTCTCAAAGTTTGTGAGCAGGACCCTCCTGAGTACTGTGATTTTTCTTCTAATCATGAATGCATGTCTTTCTGCTACATCTTAAAGCAAGAGTTTGGCAAACATAAAAAATATTGCCTCTATTCTATCCCATATACCTAGGGAGGGAATAGCTACATTGTTTTCTTCTCTTTACAAAACTTTTTCTTCCTTCTTTTATTCTTTACAATTAATTTTTCATGAACTGTCTTAATTGTTAAGATCTGAACAAAACTGATTTTTTCAGTAGTTTCCAAAGATTATTCCTACAGTAGAATTAGCAGAGTCTGACGAAAATGTATTGATATAGAACAAAAATATGTTGATATAGTCTCTACAAAATGTGATTTATATGGGAAAACTAGATTATCTGTAAGCTAAAGAAGGTATAATATACACTGTTTGATTTAAGACTCTTGAGACTTTTGCCTGAGTAACGATTGCAGGAACAAGTACAGACTTTGTGTTTTCACACAAATCACCCACAAAATGCAGAATATATCTCTTCATATTAACAAGCTGTATTAGAAAGCTGAAGGTCTTCATTAAAAACTTTCAAGTGCATACAGAGTACAGAAACAGAATTTAGAAAGCTTTATATTCCTTTCTGATTTTTGACTTGGATATCCATGATACAAAAACAGCATACAATTTCATCAAGCTAATCTTAGGAAAGAATTCTTTGGATCTTTAAAGCACACAACTGTTTCTGTAAGAAGAATGATAACGTGGAAAAATTAAAGAGAGATGAACCTCCTTTGTGTCTTACAAACGACATTTGTAAGAATAGGATTATATCAGAATTATTCTACATAATGAAATGTTTATACATGTCAGTGACAGACTGCATTTCATCATCCATAACCCTTAAAACTAAACAGAATCATAGATTTTAAATAGTTACCTAATTCAGAAAGCTGGCATGGCTTTAAAGAGAATCCAGACACAACCTCATCAAGCACCTTTATGTTGGTTGGAGTTCCTACACTGGTATGTTTCAAGAAGCATTTTTTACTGAATGACAAAGAATAAAGAAAGTGGTAAGAAAATAGGCCTTCTTCCTTGGACTAAACCACAATTCCTATCATGGTGCATGGTCCAACTTCCAGAACAGGCTTCAAATGATGAACTGAGCTAGCTAAACAATGTTTAACTTGCAAATTTGAGAAGATTAAAAGCTCAAAAATAGGCTTGATAAAAGTTAAATAATTTCTGTGGCTGCTCTGATGATGCTGTTTTCAGAACAATAAGCACAGCAGGATTTAACAGAGCAATAATGTTGCACACATACCAATATAATTTGCATTTAAGTATCTCCAGAGGATTTTAATTTTTTTCAGTGCTATAATAATCAAGTTTGTTTTTCTCACCAACAAATAAATGAAAGCTAACTGACTACAGATATTTTCCTACCTATAAGTGTGAATAAACATTGCAAGGAGGAATAAATCGAATATCCTTGAGTAACTCTTGCAACATAGACTGTTCTACTAAAGATTTACATAGATTTACTCTACTAAAGCACAGTGCTATCCAAGGAAATGGATCCAACCTGTATTTACCAAAACTTTGCATCGTGAAATGTTTCAGAGGCATATGTAAAAAAATGGCAATGCTTGTCATTGGTACATCTTTTTTGACACTCTTGATAGCTGTCAGCCGTAGCAATATCATAAATATTCCCTTCCATATCCAGTCCTACATGGACATCTGGGCTGCAAGCTGTGAGGAAAGAGAGACCAAGTTCTGAAAATGTACTTCTATTCTTTACCCCATCCCATACCCCAAATTGCCCAAAAGATAGTTTGTATGACAGCCCTCACAATCCACATTATACATCCCACACTCACTTCAGTTACATCACACTTCATACACACTTCTAGTACTAAATCAGAAACAGGTTTAGTGTAGTATCACATGGCAAACTGTCAGATTTTGACAGTGCCTCTGCCTACATGACAGAGGGGCTCTAACCACTGTGGCTGACCGAGAGCATAATGATATTCAGCAAAGTAAGAACTCGAGATTAATACTAAAACATACTTTCCCAGTTCCAAATTCACAGAGCAGTTTAAATGGCAAATTCTCTCCTCATAAACAACAGACACCTTCCATTTGATTCAGAATATTTAATTTACACTTCAAAGAGGGAGAACTGGGACTTTGGGGAGTTTGAAATGCAGGTCATTGGGTTCTCTTCAAAGAACATGAGTCAGCCAAAGATTGGAGCCATTTTTAAATATCTATGGAAAGATTTTCATTTTAATTACATTAGTCTGATTCTAGAATAACTACAGTGATATTAATTAGTCTAAATAGCATAAAGAATAACATCCCACTGAAATCTCTTCTTCTGCATCAAAGCTACTCAGAAATGTAAACATGACAGGATATTGGCAGGAAAGGGCTTTTAAAAGACCTGACTGGTCTGAAAGGCAAGTGACAAGCTAAAGCTAGCACAACTTACTTTATAATAGCTGCAATGGAGAACTCACATAAAAACCCATTTAGTCCTGCCACATTGAGGTGCTATACCAACAAAACTAAAGAACTAACCTGACATGCATAAGACACTATTTGTCCTCCAAGACAGGAAGTGAATAGTCTTCCTTATTCTCTTTTTCTAAAGTACCATGTTATACTTAAAGTTGATCTCCTTTTGATGACATCATTATTACAGTGCAAGTTTAAAGCATATCTAAAACAACACATTTAACAGGCTTTAAATGAGCCTGGTATGGCATGCTGAAATCAAGACTTCATGTAGAGCACACACACATACGCTAAAAGATGCAGCTGCTAATAATATATTACACAGAATCACGAAGGTACTAACATCACATTGTGACAATGCACGTCTGTTTTACTGGGCATCTGCACCTCAGAGTTACAAAACAGGGACACACGTGCCATATGAGCAGCTTTCAGGAGTGGAATTGTAGTAGTGAAATAATCTTTAGAACTGGAGTCAGCAGCTAAAGCCTGCATTCCCATCTGTTTCTAGCAAATGAAACAGTGACGGCAGAAGCATGATTTCCCTGTCACCTCCTCTGGGGAGCCTCAGTGGTGGATAATTGGGCCTGAAGGCTAAAACCAGTGGGTTTTTGTCACTTGTGTTTGAAAGCAATCTGGCAAAGAACATACAAATCACTGCTTGGCTACTTCCCTGATTCTATTACTCTTTACAAAATGGTAATTTTTTTAACAATTGCCACCCAATACACAGCATAAAATACATGCATGTGAATAACCATATCTTACCAGTAATTTGGATGTTACACTGTTTTAAGGAATGTCCAGAGATAGCTCCTTCCATATCCACTTTCGGCAGCATTTCTGTATCACTGTCTTTTAAATAGCAGGAAAACCTGTGTTTTAAAATGCAGCAATTCACGGCTTTTGCAGTACAACACAGACTTGCATCATTGTTTCTCAGGTGAAATGCAGGCTTTTTAATATCCCTCAACATTTAAATGTTGACATGTATAATTGGAAGAAAAATAGGGTAGAGACACATATGCTTTCTGGAGGACAGAAATGCACTAGGCATAGAGAGGAAGGACAATCTCATTCTCTCAGGTTAACAAAGTTCTTAATTGTGAGAAAAATACGCTAAATATAGAGGGTGGGGAACAGTAGAGGGGACCACTGGAGATGTGAAATTACTCACATTGTCTCTGAACAATAAATATGTGGCACAAAGGAAGGAGTGCAGAGTCACTTCTGTTTCCTTGAAAGGGTCGGTATGTCAGTGCGAAAAACTGGGCATTGTCAAATTCAACCTTCTGAATTCAAGCAATTAGTCTGAGTTTTAGAGATACATGACAGGGTGTTCCATGGCAACCTGCGTGCCTGTGTTCTGTCAAAATGTTACCAAGTTTCTAAATTAGCACAGGAGGCCAGCAAAATAGACATGTACATGAACATCCTACCTTTTTGCGGGATCTTTAGTCCATGTTGCTGGCAAATAGGTGAAGAACAGACAGGTAGGATGGTAAGTACACACTACTTGGCAGTAATTGGCACTCGGTGTAAAAAACGTAGTGAGGTCTCCTCCTTGGAAGTATGTATTTTCATAGATCTGAATCACACATTCTGATGCAGAATAACAAAATATGTCAATTATTAAAGACGGGAGCACACAGTTCAGCAGGAGAGGGTGAAGCCAGTGCTCCTCTTTGTCATGGACCTTGCTTTTAAGACAGTCTTTTGGCAGGAAAAGTGGGTAAGGGGCATGAGTAGCACAGTTCCTCTGAGAGTCTCATCTTTTCTCTCCAGCAGAAACAAAACTATCTGGGGTGTCTCCCCCCTGTTCCCTGCCTCACACCCAATGCTGGAGCAGGGCAGCTTGCACCAAGGCAGAAACCCAAGCAGCAGGATAGGCCACAAGGCATATCTGCATGGCAGATAGGGAAGGTACCATCTCATGGCAGATCTCAGGAGCAGTAGAAGCCTCTTCTAAGAGAGACCACCATTAGAAGGAAAACTACCAGGAGGAAGTGCAGAGAGCAAAAAGATTTACGAATTTTTATGTAAAGACAGTCCTGTTTTGTCTAGGGATGCTCTGAGGCCCGAGTCCCAGGCGATGACACTGCACACAGCCTCAATGACTCAGAGCATTTCTTACACCTTCTGCTTCCTCACATTTCACCTTGAACCCCCCAACTTGCTTTACAATGAAGAAAATACTGTTTCAGCAGTAGCATCTCAGAATGGTCCAGAATAAAAATGAGCTCAACTATGACCATGCATCTGCAGGAATACTGAACTCTCAATGACATACTGAACTCTCTAATGACAACCACTGACACTGCAGAGCCATGCAACAAAGGTGCCTAAGCAGCAACCTGCTCCCACCTTTCCAAAGGAAGGCATTTGTAAGATCTCCATTTTAAAACACACAAGAGAGCTGTCTTTGCACAGGAGACCACTCTCTTCTTGAATTTGCCCTTCAAAAGAAGTAGCAAACCAGCAAATAGGCCAATTTTTATTCCTGTATCTACAAAAGTGCTTTTTCTCGGTTGAAAGAGAAAATAATTTAATTTTACAAACTGGGAGGAAAACCCAACTGAAAACATTTTATCTACTGGATATCTACTGGATATCTACTAGACATATGTGCTAGATATGCTAGTATTTTTCAAAGTTTAAATTCTTATTAATAAAAATTTGCACTTTATAAATATCCATATTTTTCTGATATATGTACTTTCAAGATATTTCTCTAAAAATTAGTAATTATTGTTCTCAGTAGAGTTTCTTTGCCCAGCTTTGTCATTAACAGAAAAATATTTTCTACTCTTAGAATACGCCAAGTGAATTCTATCTGCTATATCAGATATTTTGGATCTTATTTACCTTATTCTAGTGTAACACACAAAAATTTTATTTATGCTGTAAAACTATGCACCATGCCAGTAAAGTACCAACTATGTAAAACTATGCCAGTTCTGAACACCTTAACTTAATAAAAGTGTTTTCTAGCCCTCAGATATTTTCCAAGATTTTAGTTTTGCTGAGATTTAAAGCCAGGAAAGATATTTTCTTAAATAATACTACATTTATCAAACAGATATTGCTAAAAAGCTCTTATCTAATTGTTGTCTGAGAAATAAAAGGTAATACATTACTGAACTTAAACTTGTGTTAGGCCTCAGTTATAATTTATCAGCAAAAGGAATTTCAGAGAAATGCAACGCAACTTTTGTAGTTTAACTTTTGCTAACTGATCAAAGTAAATCATTAACACAGGCTGGAAAAAATGCGCAATTATCAATTTTCCAGTGTGCTAAGAGAATTTTAAAAACCATTTACAATAACACAACTGGTTTGGGAGTTATTCACCTCTATTGCAGTAGTCTTTCAAAGCACAATGGTACATAGGTGTTATACAGATATTTTTTACATGAGTAATTTCACACAAAGGCAATGTGTGAGTAAGACTGAAGGTTTGTGGGGTTTGCTTATTTAAAAAAATTAAAAAGGATATTAGTTCTGAAGCTCAGCTGGTGTCTCACAGTCAGGCTGCCCATCAGTCCTGCCTCCTACCTGAAGGCAGCATCTGGGGAAAGGTTTGAGGCTCCTCTGCAGGCAGGAAGAGGCAGATAGCAACAGCTCACCCAGCACTGCCAGACTGAGCCTACAGCAGCCAGCACACATTGCTGCAGCGGGGGTGGCAGGACAGAATCAGTAAAGCCCCATTAGAAAGGTCCATGTCAGATAACAGGAAGCAAGTTACCCAAACTTAACTAAGCACAACCCATCAGAATCAAAACAGCTCTCTCGGGACCAGACTGCAGTTACCATCTCTCCACCTACAAAAGTTGTGTTACTCCGTGGGTCAATCTCAGAAATTATATATTCACTTACCACTGTAAACAGAAGCAAGTAAGAAAATGAAATTAAAGGTCCAATAAATCCAAATCATCCTAAAAAACACAAAATTATTATTTAGGATGTGTTACATAAAGGGTGTAAAACTAGTTTTATAAGGCACTGCAAAGCATAACACTGATTTACAATTGTACTGTTCCACCATTAATTCAATATTACTTTGAAATTTACAAATTACAGCTGTGAGCTACAGTTGTGGTATATCTAAAGTAGCATGGAAGAGTAACAAAAGTTAGTCCTTCACTTATGCTTGTAAAAAACAATAAAGCTTACAAGCACTTAAAGAATTTCTGCTTCTTTTAACAGCAGAATATTTATTCTTGTTTAGACTGGGAGTAATATTATATTGAAATGATATTACTAACCCTGACTCTCATGATAGTTTAGTAGATACTGTTATCCCCATAGCACACAAATGACTCACACTCACTTCTGGTATATGCTATATGAATTCTAAACCTATATTTTCCACGTGCAACAACTTAAGCTATGAAATAATCAGATAAATTAACCACACAACACAAGCCATAAATATTTCAACATACACTGTCTTGTTGCTATGAAAACCTTTCACTGAATACCAGTTTCAATAACAACTACATACCTGAATATACAGTAGGTCTGGATGCATGGGTAAGGTTTATGCTCTACTAAAAAAAAAAAAAAAAAAAAAAAAAAAACAAAAGTCCACACTTTGTGTTAAATATTACTGTGCCTGCAATGCTAACTTATCTTTAATATTTACTTTGAACGGGTACTCTTTCTGTTGATAGTTACTGACCTTAGGACCCATTTTCAGAACATCTGTCATCCACACTGCTCTGAATTAAATGTCCAGGTTTTACACCAGCTGAGCATCTGCCTCTTTCACAGCATTTTAAATAAAAGGCAAATCCCTGGTTCAGAAGAGCCAGAGTACCTGCTGCTAGCACAGGAACCTACATAAACAAGGAACCAGATCTGTCTCAAGAGCAAATATCAATATAGGATCATCACCTATATTTTCTTATTATTACATCATTTCCTTGAGGTATTCCCATGACAAACAGAGACAGATATATACTTCAACTATGTATTCTATGCTCTTAACATCATTTCAAGTTCTCATTCCTCCTTTTCAATACTCCACAGAAATTATCCTGTCTACATCTTCCAAGTAGTTTTACTGTGGGCCTTTCCACACTCCTGTTTTTGTTGCTAGGTTCAACAAAAAGTGTCTTCAATTTGTCAGAAAGCAGAAAAAACACAAACCTGTTTACAGGTATATGAAGTGTAAATACAACAAGAAGTCAAACTTAATTTCTAGCTTATCTGAATCACTCTTTTGATTCTACTATTCTTTTTAACATGTGTTAAAAGCCTAATACATTTTAAAGGAAAAAAAGTCTTTCAAATCTAAAAAAAATTAAAAAAAAAATTTTTGTTTCCCAGTGAAACTACCTAAGGAACGACTCTTCCTTTCTCACCACTCTTTTTTTTCTTTTCTTTTAAACCAAACCTGCAAAAGACAGATATATATACTCAACTCAAAAAGTACCAAGATCAAAACATTCCACCCAACTATGACCCTTTTGAGCATCCTGATGATTCAGATTAACTTCTCTGTGATTTAAGGGCCAGCAAGGTCTCCAGCACCTCCTCACAGAGGAAGAACTGTCTCAAATAAAGTCTTCATACTCTCCCATGTATCAATTTACTTTGCCCTGACAAGTTTGTAGGAGAGGACACAAATCTTTTCAGTGCTTTCATTTTTATGTGCTCTACTCTAAGCGTGCAACAATGAGAGTTCTAGAAGTCTTTACTGAAAAATGCATCGATAGTTCAGTCCTGTGACATGAAGTGTTTTGAGACTAAGATGTCAGCACAGCTCTGACCTTTAACTCAGAAAAGCAGATTTTTATATTGGTCATGGGATGTATGGGTATCATGGGAACACAGCTCCAGAGAAGGACACCACATCATTGCCAGGTAATACCACTGAAGCCTTCCCGTATAACCACAAATACGCAACTTAGTCTCTCTTTTCTCATCCAAAAAAAAAGTGATGATAATCTTTCACACCTCTGGAAAAATTTTCACCTTTACTTCAAATTACAGAGTTTTCATCACCATGAAAGTAATCACAAAACCTACCACTTATCTGAATATTTATAAAGAAAACAAGCTGAACTTACAACTTTTTGTGTTGCTCAACCAGTGTTAGAGTCCAGTTAATTGAACTAGTGCTCAATTAAAAGTAATTATTTTGCCTTTGTGTGAGTATGTGTGCATTCATTTCACTTGGTGACACAAAAGGATTAGAACTTTTCTCCAAGGACTTAATTTCTTGACTTTTTATTTCTCGTCTGGGCTTTCCAGGTCAGATATTGGGCAGTTATTCCAGCTCATTACTATCTTATTAAAACACAGGCAAACAAAGAAAAACCCAAAAAAATTCCAACCCCACACTTTTGGAAAAACAAGGTATACAGTTCTAATAAACAGAAAAAACAGAGCAGATTGATGATAAATTTTACCACGATCACATGTGTCATCTTGTGATGTGTAGTCATACCCACATTCATCAGAAGCTTTTGAAATCTTTCATTTCTATAATCCATTACCTCTATTTTAGAAATTTGTCTCATGACAAGGAATCTTTTGGTAATGGCTGTTTGTTTCAGAAGCAAACTAATGGGGAAAAAAAAATTCAAAAACACTTTCTTAAAGCAGTAGTTCTCAAATTTAGATATAACCCTCTTTCCAAAGGCATACCTCATTTCAAGTATATCTGTATGGGCATAAGTTGGATTTGATGGTGAAGCTGAGAAACAGGGCAGCAGTGAAATTCAAAGAGAATCATAATGAGCACACTCACTTTGGAAACTAAATTCATTTTCTTTCACTGGGCCTGCTATCCTACCGTCTGGGATGAGACAACACCTGCTGGTCGTGGTGAAGAACAAGAGAAGCATCTCAGATGAAATGAGGGAAGGCAGGCTCTGGTATGGAGGAAACAACACAAGTTCTCATTTTGATGTGGCTTTGTGGACACCCTTCCACCTGAATGAGGATGCTATAGTAACTTTCTGAACCTGAATGTGCCAGTAGGGAAAAAAAACCACAAAACCCAACAAATATTCTGAAAGTATTGCACGGCTATCATTACATATATGACAAAGGACAGAGTGAAATACCAAATGCTGCTAAAACAGCTCTAAAAATTAAATCCTGATATTTTTGTCTTATAATCAGCAATCTAGAGCCTTTTCATCTGAGTCAGGATGACATTAGCCTGGAGAAGAGGAGGCTCAGGGGAGACCTCATCACTCTCTACAACTACCTGAGAGGAGGTTGTAGCCAGGTGGGGGTTGGTCTCTTTTCCCAGGCAGCTATCAGTAAGACAAGAGGGCATGGTCTCAAGCTCTGCCAGGGAAGGTTTAGGTTGGATGTTAGGAAGAAATTCTTTACAGAGAGGGTAATCAGGCATTGGAATGGGCTGCCCAGAGAGATGGTGGATTCTCTGTCCCTGGAGGTATTTAAGAAGAGATTGGATGTGGCACTTGGTGCCATGGTCTAGTAACTGTGGTGGTAGTGGATCAAGGGTTAGACTTGACAATCTCAAAGGTCCTTTGCAACCCATCTGATTCTATGATTCTATGATTATTTGAGGGAAGAATCCATTGTCTCACTAGGCCAGAATCTTGTTTGATTTGATACCACCCCAAATGCCTGAACAAAGATTGACAGAATAATTTACTGATTTGTGGAAAGTGCTGCATTGCATATTGTATCAAAACAAAAGCAGTTTAGTAGTTCTATATCTTGCAATTACATGACAACAATAGTCTTCCTGAAAATACAGCCTAGAAACAACTGCAAATCAGACATTAAATAAGAAATCAATGCAGACCAAATTCAGGATCATAGGAAAAACAGAAGACAATTGCAAATATTAAACAACAAAGAGCTACTGGGTTTGTTATTTCAGAGGCATTATTTGATTTTTTTTTCTTATAATCAGATTTGCCTTTTTTTTTATACATGGAGAATCACACAGCTGCCCAGGCCTTGCTTCTTGCAGCTAAAGCACCTGATGCTGGTTATTGTTAGAGAAGGCAGAATGTTTTAATATACTGAAGAGTTCCAGTGCCTTGACTAGGCCCTGTAATTTGTCAGACAGTAACTCTTAAGCAAGTTATATGTGCCCCTGAACTACCAGCATGAAGCTAGATCATTTGGGCATACAGTCTTCTGCTAACGGACTGCCTTCCTTTGCTCAAAATAATTTGCATTTTCAATGAACACTTTACAACACTCCACAAGTTATACTCCAGGCACTGACTAGAAAAGTCCATTTGTTGAGCAAAAGATGGAGTTAGCAAAGTACTCCCACTTTCAGAAGAATCTCACGTGTATGTATTTTTTTGTTTTAGAAAGTGATTTAATTTAGTTTTTAATCCAGGCAAAGTATGAAGGTCGCCTTCTCAATATGATCTGACTATAAACTGAGGTAGTGCTATATTGGGATATTTGCCAGGAAGTGGCACCATTACTGCTAGCCCCTGGTGGTCTAGTGGTAAAGGCGCTGCGCTATCACCGCGGAGACCCGGGTTCGATTCCCGGTCAGGGCCACTCCCGGGCAGGTGGGGCTCGTTAGCCCTTAAAGGCAACCCACCTACGTCCTAAGGACCTCGCTGCCACTGTCCAAGCTCGCTTGGCCCCGGCAGATGAACCTTAGGATTAAAGGGTGGGCTCAGTTCCGCGCACACTGTGTCTCACCTAAAAAATCCAATGCGCAGGCTGGAAGGTGGAAAGACCTTCCCCGGATCTTCGCTCGCGAAGACTGGCCATAAAAAAAAAAAAAAAAAAAAAAAAAACAAAACTGCTTTTAGTAAGAACAGTGGGGTAGAATTCTCCAAAGGCTCTTTGAGTCTTTTAGCTGCTGGAAGAGGAGGAGATAACATGTTAGATCACACATGGCAAAGTGATCTGTTTGCAGCAGTGTACTAAAATCTACATATGAGGTTTTGGCTTTTACAGCATGAGGATTAAATTCAGGGAGGCAAGTCTAGCAAGCACCATTAGTCCACCTCTTGCATGAGTCCAAATTTGGCAGCTTTCAGCAGTTTGTGTCAAGGTAGCTGGAAACTTCTAGTGCCTCTGAGGTACCTGCAGGAGCTCTCAAGCAGAACCTCCCAAGATGTTACACAGGGTTCATTGTCAGTGTTCTTCATAACAGCTATAAGCCATGAACCAGAAATACTCAAATGCTCCGTTTCTGCTATCCCAGTAGAAAGTTCAGTACCTTCAGTATTTTTTCCTCATATTTATTTTCTTAGCAGCCTCAGACTGCTCTAAAACCAAATTTCACAACAGAAGATGAGAGGTCACTGCCATTTCAGAGCAGCTTAGAACACAAAGATTACAGGATTAAATCAGTGCTTATCTTGCAAAGATACTATGTGCATCACTAAATAGGGATTTTCCACTTTGGCAACTCTGGGCCAGTACTTGAGCCCATGCACTTTTAATAATGAGTTTCTCATTACAGTTTTATCTAGTTTTTGTCTCAATTATTTTCTTGTTCACATCAGAGATCATAAAGAAATTATAATTTCCTTGAGATTTCTTTATATGAGAAGGGTATGGTACAAAAACAAAGTGCAAGAAAAATACTGGGTAGAATGGACAGAAGTAAAAAAATTATCTTATGGAAAGAATTGTTATAATTTGGTCCATCTTACAAACTGTTTCTACAAAATAGATCCCACAGGAGAAAAGGAAGTGATATTAGTTTTCACTTGTCTTGAAAGTCTTTAACTTAAGGACATAATTTAGGAAAACACGAGGTGCTCTCCAGGTTTGTATATATATGTATATATATGTGAGATATAAATGTTATGTAAAAATAGTATGGAATAAGGAATGGAAAATGTGATCATTTTAGTCTAGGCCTTCCTGGTAACCAGCTCGTAAACAAGGAAGTGGCCATGTACCCAGTATTCCATATAATTTTTAAGTAAACCAGGGTACAACTACATACCAAATGTCCTGAGAAAACATATCTTGAATACAAATCTTCTATACCTTGAAAGCTCACACTGCTGAGTAACCAAAAGCATGAAATAATTCCTTAACTTAGAGATCTCTCTGGAAAACACATGTCATTTGTATTCTGTGTATTAACATATGAAGGTAGTCTCAAAACTTATCTCATTACAAAAAAACCCAATGTTTACACTCAGATCTAGAAACTTAAGTTCTTGTTATTATATAGAAATGAAACTTATTTGAAAAATGAGGTTGAAGAATGCAGTTATATTACCACTGCTACATGACTTTTTTTTTCTTAAAGGCAAAATAAAGGTAGCAATTACAAACTTTTTGTCAAGATCTATGATTTCATTTATGTAAACTCAGCAGTTAAATACTTTCTTTTTATAAGATCCTCAGAAAACAGTAAAATCTAGGTTCATCAGAATGTAAAGAATTTGGCAGGTTCAAGGAAACCTCTAATTTACTTGGAAAACATAAAAAATATTTCCTCTTTATTATGATGTTCTACAAAGTACAGGAGTATCTCAGGTGCTAAACCAAGCAATGTTGTTAAAAGGGCACATGGAAACAGATGAAAAAATCTGTAAAGGCCAACAAAACCAGTCAAGACAGATTACTCCATTGTTACTTTGTACCACCTTAGTCATTAGACTGGGCCCATCCATATTAGCTGTATCAGCTCTGACCTCCAGCTTCTCATCCAGCTTCCCTCTGCAGGGTGTCCACAGCCCCAGAACAACCTAAACCCAACAGCACAACAACAACCCTCTCTGCCAACCACAGGGCAAGAGGAACAGCTGCATCAGCAGCTAAAGACAGAAGTGTGGTTATCAGCGGGTTCTCTTCTTTGTACAGCACCAGGCACCATGCTGGAGTAACACACACCAGCCAAAAGAAGTTCCAAAACACAAGTAAAGGGTAGATCAGCTAGAAGACCTGAGCTTGGCCTAGCACCAGCTTTTTCAGAGCTTGCAAAAATCATGGGGAGTGTCTTATCCAGCTGAGTGGCCTGTAACAGATTTTGGCCTGTTCTGAAGGTACAAACTCAGAAACTTTTCACAGGCGCGTCATTCCATTACCGTGATTCGTCTTTAACTTCAATTAGCAAAAAACTCTGTATGTTGCCTTCAGGGCCTGTGAGAGAGTGGAGGAAATGATTACTTCCTCAAAACAACTAAAAGGGGTTGTGTAGGGACTGCAAGGGGGAGCAGGGTAAATTCAGCCAAGAAGGGATGGTGCACTGCTCCATACCCCTCACCCCTCCAGATCTAGTCCAGCCCAGAATGGCTATTAGCCAGTGGCATGCTGAATGTCCCACCTAGGAGAAGAGAGACCAGGGCCAATAAAAGCAACTGCACAGGAATACACAGGGTTGCAAACCATTTGCATTTTATAGGAGCTGAGATCGCGCTGGAATTCAAGCAGTGATTAACAATCTTTCTCTCCTTTTCTTCTTCAGATTTCCTTGTCTTGAAATCTGGGTAACTCGGAATTTGGATGGGCTAGAGTTTGCTAAGTCAATGCTTTGTGAAATGCTTCACTTTGATTGAACGTTGCTTTAAGGAAATTTGCCAAGTACCCTTATCCTCTAAAGTTTGCCAGTAAAACTTTGTTGTTTAACCTCCTGAGAACACTATAGTGTTCTCCCTGTGCCTGCTTCAGGGAATTGCAGTACCTAAGCCCCCTTTAAGAAACTTGCCAAGGAAGCTCAGGGTTTCACAGGACACTAGAAGTTAAGAGCACACTGGCTCATTGCTTGAGCTTGGAGTAACACAGTAAAATCTGGTTGATTGATCACTCCAGAGGAACTGATGCTAAGAAATAATTATGCATGACTTAATTATGCATGATTACTTTACCTGCACACAGGCATGTAATGTCTACAGATGTAACTTCATTCCATATTGAGACACAATAGAAGTTTATTTGCAGAGTTTGTAATAATACAGTGGTTCTGTCATAGTGACATCCAGTGTGTAATTTGTACACTATCTACTTCGTGGTATGATTATACAGATTAATGTTTATACAGATTAATGTTTATGGTATACTTTGCTAAAAAATAATTCAGAGCACTCACTATTTAAGAACTACTGTAAATGTTTACAGAGGAGGAATAAAATTATCAGAGATTTTTGCTTCATCTTCACAGATACAGTCATTATCAAAAAAGGAAAAATACTGCCTGAGAGGAAGAATTATCACTTGTGCTTTTCCAAACCAAAGAAACCTGAAAACTATACAAATATTTGAGACTATCAGTTACCTGGCAAATTCTATGGCATGTAACCAGATCACTTCATCACAGGCATTGCTGTTGTTACTACCATAATTTAAGGTTTTGTGGCTCTGTTGCAACAGAATAGTTTCATCTGAGCAGATAAGGCACTAAAAGTTAATATTCAAAGATTACCATGAAGTTCACAAGTACTAGAAAAGTAGAGTAATTTAGGACTATTACAACATCTTTAATGAAATAGGAAAAAGCGGTTTTAACAAACTGCTGGACTGATATCAAAATATCTGATTTTAAAACATATTTCCACTTAAATAGCTTGAAAATTTTTGGAAGTAAACCCTTGAGATGGCTTTCATTCTGATCCAGCATTTGGTCTCCTCTTCAGCTTAATCCAGATGCCACTATTTGGACGAAGAATCAATTCTCCAGATATACGAAGCTCTTCCAGCTTCTGACATGACTCCACCCAAAAGCGCCGCAGGATGAGGGCTAGAATAGTTTTCTCCTCCATCTGTGCAAAGCGCTGGCCTACGAGTTACAGGGCAGGAAGAAAAGGTATTGTCAGGTTGCATCAATGGCTGCTGCACTTGCATGTTCACAAGGATACTCCCAGAAACACGACAGAGCAAGGACTGTGCATCTGCCTTGAGAACAGAACTAGCCTTAGGCCAAAATCGAGTTTATATGGATACTAACAAAACTAGCACTTTTCTCTGTATGAAAACTCTGGCCTTCCTGGGACAATCCACGGTGTGCCTTCCTTCCCACAGTACACAGAACTCAAACAGCAAAGTGGAAACAGTCAACACTTTATACTGAACTAATACAAAATACAGCCTTGTCATATCTCTTGGACGGACTAGGTAGGTGGAACAAATGGCACATCAGAGCAGAAGATGCAGTACAGGAACTGTGGAGAGAGAAAAATCTTATTGCTCCATATATGTGGAGAGGAGTAAAGGAGATATGACTGCAACGGAATGACACACAGACCTCCCTTCAATGATCATTAAACCTCACACACGCTGATGATCTAGTAGCACAGGCAGCAAAGTTCAATTTACACTTCAGAGAAAGGTGACAGAGGAAAGGGGGAACAGAGAAACATGAGGGAAATCAAATCAAGTGCCACAATCCAAGCAGTTCATACACACTAAACTGAAAAATGGGAACAGGACACAAACCCAGTGCTCAGAACTTTTTCTGTTCTCCCCTCTGTATAATATGCTTAGACAGACATCCACACACATGTACA